TTGATCTGCTAGTCGCGGGTCTATCATGCCAAGAACTCTGCTCATGTGTTTGCATAATGATGCATTTAAAAGTTAATGACCAACGTATCATTATAAAAGTTCACAGTGTTGCTACAGATGAAATATAACGTGGATAACATTAAATTAATATTTTTCATCAAGTTAAACATTGATTATTTATCACTCAAATCCCTTTCTCTGCCTGTCCGTTTGTCGCGTATATCCGCCATGTTTGTAGTTTTTTAACACTTTATGCGTCTTTGTAGTTCTAATCGAATCCTCGTCCACCCCGCAATGTGTTGTGGGCACTGATCTATATATAATGATATTCTCTATTATAGATCAGTGGTTGTGGGCAATATTAGCCGTTAGAGTGTGCATCGATCTGCACTTCGAATTCTAACCGGAAGTAGTAGACCATCCGGGAATCTTTGGCATACTTTTTTAAGCATACTATGATTTGGGACATACTATTTAGGACGGATAGTATGCGAATTGGGACGCAGCATCTCTCTCTCGCGCGGGCCTGTTTAGGCATGTTTTGTGCCATTGATCGTAGTCATCATCCTCAATAAAAAAACATTTATTCATGCTGCTAGGGTGTCCGCGGTGAATCCAGTGGAGAGAAATCCCCCACAACTAACTGCAAACTGGCATTCAGATCTGCCTCCATTTTGTTGGCAACGCCAGAACTTCCAACGATCCAATCAATTCCCGAAGGATGAAATCAAGTCCCGCCCTCTCATTTCAGATGCCGTTTCACTCGGATATACGTCACAGCTTTTTTATACAGTCTATGGTCACAGCAGAGAAGAAAAGACAATGGCAACTTCAGTTTCATGCCGACTTTAAAAGTGGTGCTGGAGACACTGCCGTGGTCTCCGAGAAATATGGAAATACGTAAGTATAATAATTTTCACCAACAAAGTTGTTCAATTAATTTGAAAACTTTTATGTCTGACACAAGACCAGATTTGAAAACAGCTGCTATAGTCATTCATTTAGTGGCGCGCGTGGGCAAAAAGAAATTGTTCTCTCCAGTCATGTGTCTTTTATTTTATTTAACGCTAAAAAGTAATATGTTGCTGGTAAATGAAGCGTTGACCATTAAAGGGCTTTGCAGAAATAACGAGTCATAGCTCCAATTATGTTAAAATGCCAGTGGTACTGATAACAGCGCTATTAGAGAGCATCTCAAGATTTATTTGTTAGTATCAGGCTTTTGTCTGTTGTCTGTCTCCATTTCATTAGAGATGTCGGTCTCTTTGTGAGACACATGGCTGAAGGGAAGACAGGTCTCAGGTCATCAACATGCTGAAAACACTAATGCTCTTTGTCAACATGCCGTAAGCCAGCCTGACTTTTAAAACACAATACAAAAAGTCACTCCAATGAAAAGCATGAGCCCGAAATAGAGAAACCAGGGAACATTTTCACAAATGTCATCTGAAATCTGGGGCATCAGAAGTCTAGAAGAAATCCAGCCCTCAGACACATCTCATTACACCTAATAGGCTACATATTTTTAAATAAGTGTGCAGTGTACAGTTTTGACATTCATCTGTGTTTCAACAAAACATAAGTAACAACACCTTTAGCAGTGTATTCAGAGCTGATCGAAATAATCTCCCCGAATGGTAGAAACAGAATAAATAGAAAAAAATCTACATATTCACAATCAGAAATACATGAATGAGGGTTTTTTGTAAATATCTAATTTGCGTGTTCATTTCATATATATATATTAGCCAAACAACAGAATTAATTTGCAAGTGCAGCGAGCATTTAAATGTGTTTTGCTTCTCAGAAAATTTGACAGACTTGCCATAACACATTCACTTTACTCTGAGGAAAAGCGGAATAACCTCATGCATCATAATAAGCCGACTCACTTAATCATTGGATTGGTGTTCTGTGCTGTGAGAATAAATGAAATTATGCCAGGCTAACCTAAAATAAAATGAACTAAGCTGATAAAACTGTCAACAGCTGGCACTTTTCA